AGTTCAGCTCTTCTGAGACGTGACTGGGCGGGTCTTCACAATACTGGGATCTTCTCCAAATTCCTCTCTGCCCTATTGCCCCGTTGGAGAGGGGGCAGCCCACCAACCCGTCTTTTGTGTGCCTCTCTATCCGGCTCCAGTTTGAACACGGCCACTCTTCACTCCACTAAGAGCTGGTTGAGACCCCAGGCCACCCACCCCACTCCACCCCATGGAGATTTCCAGCTAAGCCTTGGCAAAGATGGAGGGCTAGGGAGCTGGCTAACCTCCTAGAGAGGGTGCCAAGAGGGACCTGAGCCAGGTCTTTCCCTTCAACTAGATGCCACCCTGTGGGTCCTTTTTCTATAACAAAGTTTGTATGCACATTACAGGACAGAGGGATTTGATGTCGCTAAAGCCCCTGAAGTGGGCTCCATCCTTACAGATCCTTCAGCCCCTCTGAGCCGGTCTCAGAGGTCCTACCCAGCCAGCCAGATCTCAACCTCTCTCCCTTGTTGTCACCTTGCAGATATTTATAGCCTTCCCATGTCCACTAGAGAGCATAATGGGCTTTTTAGGCTAAAGCAATTAAACTCTGTCCCGTAAGTCATGTCTCCCGCATGGATTCGGTCGCCCTTCTCTGAACTTGTTCCATCTTCATTATCTCTGCCCCTTGTGGCAAGAAGGGCCTGGGAGTTCACACGCTGGCTAAGGGACATCTGCCTTCCTTTCCAGCTGCCTGGTCCTTTCGCCTATGGGCCTCACCCTCGGGCCCCACCCTCCCCACACTCAACTCACTTGGTTTGTGTTGACACAGCCTAAGCCTGGGCAATGCAGTCGACTAAACCAGGAAGCAGAATATGCTCAAGAAGGGACCCTCGATTTTTCCTCCTTTTAAAAATTATTTAGCTTGATCCCCTCCCCTCCGATATTATGCAAATCACAGATTATGCACCACCAGCAAACAGCCAAGCTTTTATAAAATACCCTGAGCTGGAGCTGGGAAGCCGCAGCTCCCAGAGATTATCCTATCTCAGCTGTGCACCAGGCTCTGATGGGATCCTGGGAACATTTCCCCACAGTGTGCTTGTGATTTGCAAGGGACCCATGCTTCAAGGCCATGACATCGTATCTCCAGCTCTTGCTAAATTAGTAGTGAAATGGTTACTGTTTCAAACAGAAGGGAGCAAGCGAGCAGGAGGCATGCAAGCGGCACTTGCCGGCAGTCGTGGGGACGATCAGGTCACTCCTCGGTCTCCAGCCCACTGGCACATTGATCAGCTGAACCATCCGTGGATTTCACCAGCATCCAGGGTTACATTCTTCTTGCACTTAGTCATACACAGTTTAATTTACATCTACTATGGACCATTGGCTTAAGACAAGAAGCATAAGGAACACCGAGGCAGAATATAATATCAGTTTCACGAGGAAAATAAAACACAGAATACTAGATTTTTCCTAGCACTCCATAAAGCAGTGCTGAAAAGAGAAAATACGGTGGCAATTAGAGCCAATTTACCCTTTGTGTTGTTGTTTATTAAGAATAAAGATGATCCACCCCCTAATGTTTTTAAGACATGCTGGCAAACAGCAGTTACAAGAGTTTCTTTTAATCTCAATATTCAATAGAAGAAAATGCTTTACATTTTAAACGATGAGGTGATTTTTCAAAACACAAAATCTTCAATAGTTTTAAATCTGAGGTTTTGGAAGGAGGTGTTTTTTTTCATGCTGTAACTTATAATTACAATCTGAATTTTTAAAGTACTTTTGGTCCTCAAATAAAACATAATATATCAAATTAGATTTGTCAACAAATCGCCTTTTTCATAATTAACTTAGAGCAAAGTAAACAACATTTATCACACACTTAATGAGGAAAATGCCCAAATTCCTCTCCATACATTATGGATATAAAAAAGGATTAAAATAAACTTTATAATATACTTTTTAATAACACTCTGATATAAAATAAAATTATTGTATTAAAAACACTTTATATACAAAATTATTTTTAAATTTATTATCATTTTTTGAAGCTCCCTGGTTTTAATCATCACAGGTCTCAGGGCATATTTGCATTCTTTGGAGGCCCCGCTCTTAGTTGAGGCTCAGCAGCCACTCTGGCCTAAAAGTTGTGACTGAAAACTTCGTCTCAACCTTGATCGCTCCTCTCCCATCCCTGGCACTGCGGTGACTAGCTGTGTGTCAACTTGACACAAGCTGGAGTCATCTGAAAGGAGGGAGCCTCAATTGAGAAAATGCCTCCATAAGATCCAGCTGTAATTTTCTTAGTGATTGATGGGGGAGGGCCCAGGCCCCAGTCCATCGCAGGTGGTACCATTCCTGGGCTGCTGGTCCTGGGTTCTATAAGAATGCGGTCTGAGCAAGCCATGGGGAGCAAGCCGGTAAGCAGCACCCTTTTATGGTCTCTGCATCAGCTCCAGCCTCCAGAACCCTGTCCTGCTTGAGTTCCTGTCTTGACTTCCTTCAATGATGGATATAAAAGTATAGCTTGAATAAACCCTCTCGTCCCCAAGTTTCTTCAGGCAAGTGCTTCATCACAGCAATAGAAATCCTAACTAGGACAGACAGTGATAGGCAACACTTGAAATAGCAGCTATTCCGTCCACTCATCTCTCACAGCTCTTGTGATGCGCACAGCTCTCTTGCTGACTTGTAATGGCCGTGTTCATAGATCAAGAAAGAAAACTATAATTTGAAGTCACTGAGACTTGGGAGCTTTTTGTCATTGTCTCCTAACCAAGACTGCCCTGACTAATACAATTCCAAAGTGAGAACATGCGATATTATTAACTTCCATCTAGTAATAGATCATCTCTCTCATCAGGAATGCTGGGTCAGAGTTGGACATTGTGGAGTACCACAGTTACATCATTTGAGTTCTGAGCCAGCTGCTGACTCACTAAGTGGCTTAGACAAGTTACTTTACCTCTCTGAACTTTGTTCCCACCTTTTTAAAGATTTGTTTTAGATACATGTGTGTGCATGTTTGTGTGTGTTCACATGCATGCATGCATGTGTGCAGACGCATACACACATGTGCAGGTGTCCAAGGAGGCCAGAAGAGGGTGTCAGAACCCCTGGAGCTGGAATTACAGACAGTTGCGAGCAGCCTGACCTTGGTGTTGAAAATCAGTCTGGTCCTTTGCAAGAGCAACAAGTGCTCTTAACTGCTGAACTATCTTTCCTGTCCTGCTTCATCTTTAAAACTCTGACACATTCTCCTCATTTCGACTCTACAACGGAATTATTAAGTAGTGGTGTTTTTATGTGTGAACACTCTAAATAGAAGCAATTATAAGATCCTGGGAAATGTCTATCATTTCCAACTTCCTGGCTCCTTTCCCCCATGACTCTTCCAGCAGCCTGTCATCTCCCTCCCTCCTACATAAGTGTTGCATGTGCCTCAGATGAAGGGATTGTCAGTCTGTCCCTTCCCACTCACAGGAACTAGTCAAAGGGCTAGAGTGACCCAAGCAGTGCTGAGCTGGACACTGCCGGGCAGTCTGATTTGAGGCCATGGGCATGGGGCTCATTCCATGGACAGTAATCAGTGATGCAGGATGCCTGGGTCTGGCAGGCCACGCACAGCAAAGTCTTCAAGAGTGAGAATGGAGCTCTCACCGAGAAGAGGCTGAACATGGGGTGAGAAGGAGAGAGGAGGAAAAAAGGGAGACAGAAAAGGAGGGATAGGAGAGAAGTAGGGAGGAGGGAAGAGAGAGAGAGAGAGAGAGAGAGAGAGAGAGAGAGAGAGAGAAATAGCTTTACAGCCCTTGAATGTTGCTCACCTATTGGCTGAAGCACCACCTGTTCGTCAGCTGGAGCACCACCTGTTCATCAGCTGGAGCACCACCTGTTCATCAGCTGGAGCACCACCATTTCATCAGCTGGAGCACTACCTTTTTCATTCCTCGCTAGTTAAATGGACTTGAGTGAAGTTTCTCTCATTGGCAAAGGCATGTAGATGAGTTCAGACATGCACAGCAATTCCACAAACACAGAACTCTGCCCTGGCATGACTGAGGCCGCATCTCGGGAGTCACGTGAAGGTGCAGCACATACAGAGCGACCAACCACACTCGGCCAGCTGAGGCAGGAGGTAGTTGGGAAGGTCTTCTTAGGAGGTGGCATTTGGAGCAAAGCCTTGAGGAAAGGTTGTCGGCAGATGACAACCATGTTTATTGTACCTTGTGAAGAGTGAGCAAGAACACACACATCCCTGGACACCAAAGCTGGAAGGGATATGATTCCTCCCACTTCCACACACCAGGACACTAAATTAATGGATATCTGCAGCCTTTTTGATCACACATACACACACTCACACATACTAACACTCACACACACTTACACACACACACACACACACTCACGCACACATGCTCACACATATACCGTACACATACACACCACACACACAAATCACACATAGACACTAATACTCTCTTTCACACACACACCACTCATACATACACCACACACACACACTCACACGTATACCGCACACACTCACACACACACTCACAGATATACTGTACACACACCATACATGCACACATACACATACCACTCATACATACACCACACACACACTGACAGTCTGACACACATACTCACATACATACATACACTCACACACCACTAATACAATGATAAAGCAATAGGCTATAGGGATGTACAGTTATGCAAGACTGACTACTGGGTCCTTCCCAACCTCAGAGAGTTGATGGTACCCAGGAGCCCTGGGACGCGAGATATCCTGGGTTGTGGTGAGAAAGTACAACTGCAGTGGACAGTGTTTGGGGACAGCAGGTAGGGGCATCATCTCATAGAGAGGCATCCAAGCCTGGATTCATCCCTTAGGACTGGGAGGAAAGTGGCTGCCAACATAGACAGTCAGCTTCTCAGAGTAAACAGGGCAATATGTTCAGATGCTTGGAGGTAGAAGCATGGAAGGAGAGCCATGTAGACAAAGAGGCTGGGGGATCTTCAAGTACATGAAAGGAGTTGGATTTATTCTAAAAGAGCAGCAAGTCCTATAAAGATCAGGAGACCTCATTCTACACACTGGGTGCTCCTCTGATGAATCCAGGCTCTGTTCTGACAGCAGCTGGCCCTTCTCTGTGTCCTGGTACCCAAGCTCCAGCATGGGCTGCCTTCCTTCCTGTCCCATTTTCTCCGAGATGGGGCCTGTCCTGCACTCTTCAAGTCTCCTGGGCTGAAGTTTCCTGTAGTGTGGTTTATGATCACCTAACTCAGAGGCACTCAAGGAGCTTGTGCAAGCCTGGCCCTATCCCCTCCCCAGAGAGGATCATGGACAGGCCCTGGTTCTGGTCTCTACAGGTTTCTAAGAGCTTTGGAAAACCCTCCAAGCATCTCAGACATCCCTCTCTGGGCCAACCACCTGCCTATTGTCACCTGTTCTGCACTTCTGCCAGACACCCAGACAAAGGCCACTTGCTCAATGCTCCCCGAACTTCCCAGGCCCCTGACACATGTGCAAGACCCATACCCTCATTTTCTCTTGTGTTGTGCATCTCTGGTATTGAAGACCTCTGCCAACACACTGACACCCACCACTGTTCTCCACACCCCTCTATCTTTCTGGGAAGCCCCCTAGTCTGGTAGTGTAGATAAAAGCGCCACAGAGGTCCGCTGCCCATACGGTTAAGCATGCGGCTTAATGGTTGAAGATACCTGATCTAGGATTTGGCATGGCTACAGACCAGCTGAGTGGCTTCAGGCAAGATCCTGCTTCATCTCCTTCCTGCCTGGTATGCAATGCACCAAAATTCACGTTGAAATCCTTATGTGGTGGCCCCAGGAGTGGGGTCTTCAAGAGGTGTGAAGGTCTTGAGGATGAAGACCCTAGGAGTGCGGTTGTTGGCCTATTATGAAAGGGACCCCAGAGTGTGTGCAACTCTCTCTCTCTCTCTCTCTCTCTCTCTCTCTCTCTCTCTCTCTTTCCTTCCATCCCTTTTTCCCTCCCTCCCTCTCTCCATCTCATGCGTGTGAGTGCAGTGGAAATCCAAGGTCTGCAGCTGGAAGAAGCCCCAACCAGAACCTGACCATACAGAACATCCCTGTCTTGAACTTTCTACTCCAAAACTGAGAGAGATACCATTTCTATGTTTACTACCCCACCCCGTCTACGGTGTTTTGTTACGGCAGCCTGAACTAACTCTAACAGCATAATTCACAGACTTGTGCTCTGAGAACTGTGTGAAGCGATAATGGTCAGTTCTGGTACGCAGTTAAGTCTCAGCAAAAGGTACGGTGATCACCTGGGAAGAGCGAACTCAGTTCCTGCTGTGTCTGGCCAAGTGTGGTTCACTTACAACCAAGTTCCTGTTCTCACTGAGTGATGCTGTCGACCCTCATCCCGCTTTAAGACCCATTTCCTTCCCTGAGTGAGGACATACTCCAAAACTGGCATTCAGAGGGCCATTAAGGCCCCTCCCCAGGTAGAGCCCATGGCTGGATTTTTGGGAAGGTCTCGAGTCCCCATCCCTCTTCCTATTTCTGCCGCTCTGACTGCAATCTATTTCTTTTTTTATCAACTTCGCACTCCCTGAGCTGTTTGGCTCTGGGGAACAGTTTCTCCAGGGGATGAGAAAACACACACAACCTCAGAGCCTCTGCAAAATCAATTGCCTGAGTGCTTCTGCTGCTCTGGCACCTTTGTGTACTCCAGCTGGGAGAGCAGCTGTCAGGAGCTGGGGCCGCAGAGCTGGGCTGGGGAAACACTCCATTCCCAGATGGGAAAGGAATGTATTTTCCTCCATCCGAGCTGTCTGGGGGTGGTCTGGGAGCTTCAGGCTCCAGTGACAAGACCAAGGTAGACACAGACCCACCTGTGAGCCGTCCCCTCCCCAGGCACCTACAGGCTATGTTGGGAGGAGAACTGCCCCAAATCAGCTATCTGAGTCACTAAGACCGTCTGTGACCACCTCTTCCAGCCTTCCTACTGATGAGCTGAGAAGAGGTATTCTCTGTGTCCTGGCAAGGCAGTCACAGCTCCTGGCCTCCCCGTGACCTCCCTGAGGGACTCTGACTGGCTGCTCAGTTGGGTCATCCATTGCCCACAGTCATCGCTGCACAAATGGCTCAGCCAGAGCCTTCTGCAGCTGCCTTGCTGATCCTGGTCTCACACTCCTACCTCCGGCAATGCCTGCTGCTTGTTTTCTTACGGGAAGAGCCAGAGGGGCAGGGCAGGGCCATGGCTATTGAATAGCACTTCTGAAGAGCAGACTGTTAGTCCAACAGCTCTGGAATGTCTAGAGGGATGAAACGGAACTACTGTTTGCGGGGTGGATGGGAATGGGGGTATCTGGCTCTGCCTGTGCAGTCCTGTGTATATTATAGGATCAGAGTTTTTAAACAACTTCAAATTCCAGCTTTCGAAGCAAAAGAGCATCATTTGCACGCCTGCACTCTGACATCTGGTATATAAGGTCACCAGGCTTTATGGCCATCATGGTCTACAGGTGACCAACTAAGGTCCAAGCAGTCACATGACTGATTTCAGAGAATCCAGCTACCCTGTCAACATCTCTCTGTCTTAATTTTGGAGACTTATTGATGGAGCTCAGTATGATGGAGAGAGTGAGATTTACTCCAAGTGAGATGCAGAGATATCCCCCAATCCACACCAGCAGTCGAAACAACATTGTAAATCATTGCAAATCATAGCAGCAACAAGCAAGACTTGCCTTCCCAGCCTGTGTTGTTATGTTCTGCACAACCGTGTGTGGTACCATGGACTGGTCTGCCTCCCCTCAGATGAATTCCCATTAAGAACTTTGATTTTCCCTTTTAGTCCCCTCAACTGTTGGTTCAGCCTGGAAAAGACGCCTTCTGGTGACCCATAAACAACTCGGGGGAGCAGATCAGCGGAGCTTCCTCTGCCCTTCTCAGACCCAGACAATAGCTGAAATGTAGATAGGAGCCCAGCATGGGAAGGGGGAGTTAGAGGGCTGCCAGCTGCTCCATCAGTATAGAAGTGGGGTGCTAGGGAAGAAGACCATAGGAAGTAGGGCCAGTGTGGGGGCCACAAGAGCAGTAAAGAAGAGTCCATAGCGACATACATTCAAAATCCATCAGCATCCTGCCTCAGGGTCTCTCCAAGTTCGAAAAGGAAAACCCCGGCTAACTTCTCTTCCAGAGCAAAGACACAGCATGGAACCTGCCCACTCAGGCTGGAGTCAGAACTGCCAAACTCCGGGATGCTCCCTACCACATCTCTCCAGATGGAGGGAGCAAAGGTGGGCCTTAGGGGTCGAAAGTTTTACCATCGCCTTTCTTCTGGAGCTGAAAACCAAACATCACTCACTGCCCCTCTCATCACCCTGCGCCTCCTCCATCTGGGCCCTCGCCCCATCCCTACCTCGAGACTCATTATCTGCCCACTGATATTCAGAATGATTTCATTAATGTCATCAAAAGGCAGTCATGAAGAACGTATTAAGGAAGCCTGAGCCAGCCAACGCTACCCACAAAGAAACAGCTCAGACACCAAGCAAAAGATCCATCTATATGTCAAAGGAAACCCCAAATGCACACAACCAAGGAAATGCTGTTGCTCTTGGTCGAGGTAGAAGGTGCTGCCAGAGACACTGTAGGAAAATTATGAATATCTATTTTGGGGAACTATGGATTAAAGATAAACAACTGTGGTAGAGGGCAGATTTTGATGACGGGCAAAGGGGGAAAGCAAGTGCAAAGACGCCAGTCACACATTTCGAGCCTGAATGATCCGGCATTATTTGTTCCCTCAACGGCTCATAATTTCAACCTTTTATTATGCAAAGCAGTCAGTTTGGTTTTACATGGCTGAAGGAGGCTTGGCATGATTAACAGATCACAGTTGCCGGTCTCTTCATCTATGAAAAAGGTGAACTGGCTAGAAAAAGATTAAGTTATTTTCAACTCTCTGGCTACGACAACATGGGCACCCTAAGTCAGCATCCTCTCCCAAGAACTGATGTAGATGAAACTTAGAGTGTGTTAGGATGGAGTGGGGAGATGACCTAGGAGACCCACGCAGGGATGAGAGGTCACTGTCTATGCCAGTGAACAGCAGCCAGCACAATGATGGTCCTGGTGAAGGCTGAGCTGCCAGGAAGGCTCAAGCCTGTGAAACCAAGGGGACAGGCACTCGGTAGGAGCTCTCCAGGGTACTGGACAACCTCCACTGGCAACTCTGACCCACCAGACCCTCCTGCCTTGAGCTGGGTTGGCTTTCCAAGAGCCAACTACAAACAATATCAATGGCCTGACAGGGTCGACATTCTCTTCACTCTTCCAGTGAACGAAAAAAAAATATATGGTGTGGCAGCCTTGAAAGACAATAGACTTTTCAACCCACACCAATTTGGATTGAGTCTCAGCTCTGTTGTTTATTGTGTAGAGGGAGCTGTCTCTTTTTTTGAGCCTCAGCTCCTTTTTCCGAGATGAGATAATAACATCTGCCTCTTAGGGATGTAGAGATTTTTAAAGTTGGCGAACATAAAACACTTATCCGTGTCTAGCATGCATCGGGTACCCCCAAACAAATGCCTGGCGTTAATGCCCACATTAATCTCCCTGCCATATCTAGGCTGCTCCTGCCACCTGACCTGGTGACTCCTTTTCCCCAATCATGAATTAGGACTCAATGGTTGCAAGCCACAGAAAGTGAGTGTGGGCTTGTATGACGATAAAATTTGATTTTCCTTCTACGGTATTAGTAAAACCAACTTCAAGGTGTGTATCTGCAAGGATGTTTCCAGAAAGAGGATAGCCACACTGAATGTGAGCTGTGCTATCGCATAGTCTGGGGCCAATGCTGAATAATCCAGGGGTAGGAGAAAGCCAACTAGCATCTAGCAATCTACCACTGGCATTCTAATACTGGCTTATTCTCTCTCCCTCTTGGCTTATTTTCTCTCTCTTTCCCTTCCCCTCTTCCTCTCCCACTTCTTTCCTTGCTCTCTCTCCTGGCTACCATGGCATAAGTTGCGATGTATGCCCTGTTCTCTCTACCATGATGGGCTAAAACTACGAACCAAATAATTTCTTCTTCCCTTAAGGTGTTTGCTCAGGTGACAAAACATAGGAAAACAAAGGGTGGCATGCTACAAGGATGTGGTAGAAGCATGTGCATGAGGGCAGACCCTCAGAAGGGCTGTAAAACAGGTCTGTAAGGCCACAGGCTCCTCGCCATCTCCACTTCCCAGTGGTGTCTCTGTTCTTCACAGCACTCAGCAGACTACCCTGTTCTTAAATATTCATGCTGCAGGCTCAGGATATACCTTGACCAACCTGTTGGAAAAGAAAAACATGATTGGATCTGTTTGGGATCAACACAAACCAAATGGGCTAGCCTGGGGACAGGAAGAGTTATTTCCAGAAAGATGGGGTTGCCTGGCTTCTGGTTTACTCCACTTTCAAATGTTGGTTGATGTACAAATCTTCTGAAGCTATCATGAGAGATGGATGGATGAGACAGATGATCAAACTTAGAAAGTGGTAGAAGATCAGTCGTGATCCAGATACAGAGCAAGCAAGATGTGACTGCCTCACTGAAAAAGGCACTGAGCTACATGGCTAACATGGACAAGAATAATGGGCTAATATAAGTTATAAGAGTTAATAAGAAGCCTGAGCTAGTGGACCAGTCAGTTTATAACTAATGTAGACCTCTGTGTGATTTCTCTGGAACTTAATGACTGCAGGAACTGGGCGGGACAGAAATCCTCAGTCAACAAAATGGTACCCAACATGTGGACAACTGCATCCACAGAAAACATGAGAGAGCTTGTGAAGTAATTCTAGACACAAAATAACAGCATTAAGCATGGCTTCTTGGTCGCACCAATTTCTCAGGTCTGCTCTGCTTTCTAGAGGAAAGCAAGTGTTCTCATTTAAGAGAGGCTTCCTGAATCAGCTTTAGCTGAAAAATTTTTCAGCTCTTTTAAAGAGGTCCTGCCACAAAACACTTAAATGGTGTTGATGAAAAACTGACCACATGCTTTTTGGTGGTGACCTTGAATCACCATGGAGTTGTGGCAATAAACATGGCTGTGGCAAGTACTTCTGACACGAGGCTGGAATCTCAGAAAGCTAAGGAATGGGCTGGATCCAGCCGTCAATGCCACAGCTTTAATCCTGGCCATATTGCTTAGCAAATTAAAGACTCATGTGGTCAGAAAAAGAGAGAGATACAGTAAAGACAGACTCAAAGATGAAGGAAACCTCTAAATGGTTTACTGTGTGTTTAAAAATATATGTAGGCTTGGAGGAAAAAAGCATAAAGTCCTTAAAAGAAAAAAAAGAGAGTAGTTGGGTGTGGTGGCACACACCTTTAATCCCAACACTTGGGAGGCAGAGGCAGACAGATGTCTGTGAGTTCAAGGACAGCCTGATCTACAGAGGGAGTTCCAGGACAGCCAAAGATACACAGAGAAACCCTGTCTCAAAAAGCCAAAATTAAAAATAAAAATAAAAGAAATAGAGGTTAAAATAAAGCCACATAAAGACGAAAAATACATGGAGAGTCTGGATAGTTTATATTACTATGTTGTCTTTGAATTGCTTGACAGCTGAAGAAGGAGAAACAGCTGTTAAAAGACATCTGAATATAAAGGCTGCTGGATTAATAAAACATAAGTATTTTGCAAATGTCTTGACTTCAAAATTGAAGTCAAAAGATACGTTAATTTGGAGGAGAGGTTTTGCTTTTGTCTCCACAAAAAATGAGAGGCTATGGATTTATTCTGGGCTAAGGAAAATAAGGTTTGATCAAGGAAGATCCCCTAAGAAATCTCTGATAGGAGTGGATGGCCCAGATGTCTGAGTTCTACATCCAGAACAGCCTCAAGACTGCTGGTTGAGATGATCAAGCCTCACAGGATACTCCAGTCACAATTTGATCATAATTCTAAATTTTCTTTAGGTCCCCATAAGATTATCAGTGCCTCAATTCGGCAGGAAGTAACCTGAAAAGCTATGACCACATTCCCCAAAAATGGACTATGGATAATTTCCTTTGTTTAGAATATTGGTTACAAGTTGTTATGGATAATGGCCAGGAAAAAAACTAAACAAAGGTTATCAGATTCAGAGTTCTTATTCTTTTTTTTTTTTAAAAAAAAGGGGGGGGGAATTGTTGTGGGACAATGGTTTTACCCTGTAAATATTTGTTTTTTGTACTTGTTTAGTAAAATATTGATTGGCCAGTATCCAGGCAGGAAGTATATGCAGG